AGTCTACTACTACTAAGTGTCATTCACCCAGTCACACACAGCGTTTTATCTAATATTTACATACACTCACACTCAGTAACTTACACGCCGATACTTCCAACACATGGCCTGGAGGAGCTGGGCATCGATCCACCGGCCCTCTGTTGGTGGACATCAGGTGGTTGTCTGGCTCTGTGCCGGAATGCGACCGTTAGAGTCTGAACAGTTTCATGTACTTGTATTTATGTAGTACTTTCCTACTCTTCCTGACCACCCAAGTGCTTTAGACTACCATTATAAACTTCTGCAGTTCAGTGTGAAACGGACAGCCTCGCAGAGCTGTCATTTTATCAGAAGAGGAAGTTGTCTTATCTTTCTACTGGACAGGAAGTTTTATGAGGTTTGATCACTTTCCAGTCTGCTGATTTTTCATATTTATGACACCAGTTTGTAAAAAGAGTAACTTTGTGTGGCAGCGTTCTGCTGGAAGTAGTCATATTCAGAAGTTACTGAACCTGACTAACAGCTGGCCTTCAGGTTTTCTTTATTTATATACTGTACAATGCAGTATGTAATATAGTATGTACAGTTGTATCTTTTTCTCCCTCATTAGTAAGATGCTACTCACTGTTCTCTGCCGGTTCATTAGTTTTTTTTGGTTATATTTTTTTCCTTCTCTCTTTTGTTACTTTAAAGAGAACTGTGAACCAAAAGTGCATTCAGCTAAATTGTAATGGCTGTAGCTTTTAAAAGTAGGAACAAGAACCTAAAAAGTACACAGCGGTTCAATATTTTTTTTAAAAAAATGAGGGGAAGGGTGTGGAGACCTCTGCCCCTTGGTGAAATTAAATGCAGGTGTTTCCTGTCAGGTGTGAGTGTGTGTCCTGTATTTATTTAAGAAACAGGGATGTATGAAAAGGAGAGTTGAAAGGAAATTATGAGTGCATGCACACATATCTCTGAGCTTCCCAGAAGATGAGTTGTTGTGATAATCTTCTGAGATTCAATCATCACACATGGCTTTGTCAC